TGATAGTTAATTTAATAAAAAACATACTCTATATTTAGATGAACCAGCCTATTTTCTAAAAATTATTAAAATCATCTTAATGATGACACTAGGTTTTACTTAAATGTTGTAATGCTTCAAGATTAATGTTGGGGATGGGTAATTTAGACATATAATTATTAGATGTTCAAAAAAAAAATCATATAATTATTTCAGCATCATGCAATTTTTTAATTACTATTAAAATTGGACGATCACCATATTATAAAAATTATAAGCTCCAAATGATACAAGAAGAGAGAGCGAATTAATATATTTAAAAACTATAACACCCCAAATTTTGTATCTTATTTTAGCTAAAGAAGTTCAAAAGTCGAAAAAACAAACGTTAAAAGGAATTTACATTTTCATGAATCAATTCCACGCATGCTATATCAAAAACTTTGATAGGGTTGGCATTACTATGATCTATCAGCATTTCTCAGTTCCCACAATTCGTTTTTAGGAACCTCCTCAGAAAAAGACATACAAATAAATTATTCAATATCTAAGATAATTTAATCACTAATGAGAAAGGCGTAATACATTCGATAGTATTAAATACTGTATATCCAAGGCTTTAATTTCTTGTAATATTCGACTATGGGTAATAATATATTTCCCAAAACTAACAGATCGTGTAATATTCGACTACTGGGTAATAATATATTTCCTAAAACTAACACACTGATAACTACTAAACACCACCCAAATGTATATTGTATGCTCTTTTTATGGATTTTATCACTAAAATAACAGTATATTTACCTACCTTAGAAAACAAAATAAATAAACTGGAAAGTGGAAACTCCTAGACTTCGATATTATCTATTCTCTTTCTCCTTCACGCCACTCTCTCCTTAAAAGCCAACTCTCTCTCCATCTCTTCTTCTTTCTGTATCTTTTCATCAATGGCGACTCTAGAAGACATAGGAGTCTCAGCTCTAATAAACCTCTTCGGTGCCTTCATGTTTCTAATAGCATTCGCTGTCCTAAGAATCCAACCCATCAACGACAGAGTCTACTTCCCCAAATGGTATCTCTCCGGAGACAGACACAGTCCTCGGCGTTCCGACGGAAACCTTGTCGGAAAATTCGTCAACCTCAACGTCAAAACTTACTTCACTTTCCTTAATTGGATGCCTCAAGCCATGAAAATGAGTGAATCCGAGATTATCCGTCACGCTGGCTTCGACTCTGCTGTTTTCCTCAGGATTTACACTCTCGGGTAACTTCTTTTTTTTTCTCTTTATAAAGCAAAATTCTCGATCTTTAAGAGATGTCAATTTCTCGAGAAAATGAAAGAAAACTTTTCTGTTAAAAAGAAAAACTTTATTTGTTTTTCTTTCTCAGAAATAAAATTTATTTTTATTAAATTTAGGCTTCTTATGGTATTTATGAGTCTTAATCTGTGTGAGATACTGTTGAATTCTCGAGAAAGAAATTGAATTATCCGATAAAATTTTGGTATTTATGTTCTTGTTTGTTTTCTTGGGGATTCCCGTGATTGTAATCTCCAAGAAAGAGTTTCTCCAAAGTGACATAATCCCGAATTTTCCGGCTAAAAATAATCTTTAAATCGTCAGAATATTTGTACTTTATTCTTACAGAACATCGAAAATACAGCTAAGTTTCAGATTTGTCTGCTCTGTATTCCACAAAGACAAAGCAAAAGCAATAATAGAAGTTTCGTTTGTTCTCACTGTTTCAATGCTTTTTTTTTCTTCTGAGAAAGTCACTTTTTAAATATCCATTTTTTTTCTTTCGGGAAAGTTATGAGAGAATCTGCATAGTTAAAAGTTAAAACCCATATTTTTTTTTTCTTCTAAAGATGTATTTTAAAAAAAAATATCTTGTTGGGTGTTTGGCAGCTTGAAGATCTTTGCACCTGCCATGGTACTAGCACTCGCTGTTCTTGTTCCAGTGAATGTATCAAGTGGAACACTCTTCTTCTTGAAGAAGGAACTTGTCGTCAGCGACATTGATAAGCTCTCCATATCTAATGTCCAGCCTGAATCCTCAAAGTGAGAGCTTAGCTCTGAATTTTTAAAAATGAACCTTTAGTAATGATGGTTAGTGATCATTAAAATCCTATGTGTGATTGTTTAAGGTTCTTCTTCCACATTGGAGTAGAGTACCTTTTCACGTTCTGGGCATGTTTCATGCTCTACAGAGAGTACAATACTGTTGCATTAATGCGTCTGCAGTATCTAGCTTCACAGCGTAGGCGTCCTGAGCAGTTCACTGTAAGTGAAAGATTCAGAGTTTTTAACACCGATAAGTGAGTGCGCTACATCGTATTTTTGTAATGCAGGTTGTTGTCCGAAACGTCCCTGACATGCCTGGACACTCAGTTCCGGATACTGTGGAACAGTTCTTTAAGACAAATCACCCTGAGCATTACATGTGTCATCAGGTAAATATGTTTGGTCCTTAAATCGCTTATGCTTGTTATAATCAGTTGGATTTGATGGATCAGATCTTCTGGTTTTCAGGCAGTTTATAACGCGAACAAGTACGCAAAGCTGGTGAAGCAAAGAGAGAGGCTGCAACACTGGTATGACTATTATACTCTGAAACATCAACGCAATCCGCATAAGAAGCCTACTTGCAGGGTTAGTCTCTCCACTTCATTTGTCTAATCTAATTTAAATGATATGATGTTGCTTCTGATGAGCGGCTTGTGCATGTTCCAGACAGGGTTTCTTGGTCTGTGGGGTAAAAAAGTTGATTCCATTGAGTACTACCAACAACAAATCAAGGACTTTGACCACACTGTAAGCTACTCCTCCGTTGCTTTTCATTTACACCTGACACAACTTTGAACACGTTGATGTTGGTACAGATGGCTTTGGAGCGCCAAAAAGTTCTGAAGGACTCAAAACTGATGCTTCCTGTCGCATTCGTGTCGTTTGATTCACGATGGGGAGCTGCTGTTTGCGCACAGACGCAGCAAAGTAAGAATCCTACGCTATGGTTAACGAGTAGCGCTCCAGAGCCTCGTGACATCTACTGGCAAAACCTTTCTATACCTTTTATCTCATTGACCATCAGAAGACTCATAATTGGTGTGTCAGTCTTTGCGTTGGTCTTCTTCTACATGATTCCAATAGCTTTCGTGCAATCTCTTGCCAATTTAGAAGGTCTTGATAGAGTTGCACCTTTCCTCAGACCTGTCACTAGACTGTAAGTCAAAGTTTTCATTTGTTTCTTGTTATATTAGACCACCCTTGATTTTTTTTTTTTTTTTAATATTGCAGGGACTTTGTTAAGTCGTTCTTACAAGGTTTTCTACCTGGTCTTGCTCTGAAGATCTTCTTGTGGATTCTCCCGACAGTGTTGCTGATTATGTCGAAGATTGAGGGTTACATTGCTTTATCAACCCTTGAGCGTAGAGCAGCGGCGAAATACTATTACTTCATGTTAGTAAATGTGTTCTTGGGAAGTATCATTGCCGGAACCGCGTTTGAGCAGCTTGACTCTTTCCTTAACCAATCACCAACTCAGTAAGTAACCTTTAAACTCTCTAAAGAGAATTCTAACTTTTTGAATTAGAAGAACTCATAAGTTTATTGCGTGTTGTACAGGATTCCTCGGACCATTGGGGTCTCCATACCGATGAAAGCTACCTTCTTTATCACGTACATAATGGTAGACGGGTGGGCTGGTATAGCGGGTGAGATTCTCCGGTTAAAGCCGCTTGTGATATTCCACTTGAAGAACATGTTTATTGTGAAGACAGACCAAGATAGAGAGAGAGCAATGGACCCTGGTTTTGTCGATTTTAAGGAGACTCTCCCTTCTCTTCAGCTCTACTTTCTCTTGGGGATTGTCTACGCCGTTGTTACTCCCATCCTCCTTCCCTTCATTTGTGTCTTCTTCGCCTTTGCTTACTTGGTCTATCGCCATCAGGTTCGGTTTAAAGACTCAGTGGCATCTATAGTTCTTGCCTAAATTTAGAGTTTCTTGATGATGCTTTCTTGGTTTTGCAATGCAGATAATCAATGTTTACAACCAACAATACGAGAGCTGTGGGGCTTTCTGGCCGCATGTTCATGGCAGGATAATAGCAAGCTTGTTGATATCTCAGCTTCTGCTAATGGGACTTTTGACTTCTAAAAAAGCAGCTAACTCAACCCCATTGCTTATCATCTTACCCATTCTCACTCTTTCTTTCCATAAGTACTGCAAACACCGCTTCGAACCCGCCTTTGGAAAGTACCCCCTCGAGGTAAAGAACGAGTCTTCTTATTACCCATAAGAGAAGTTTCAAGCTTTCTTGAACAAAAAAACTGTGTTTATTTATTTATCATTGGTCTTACTGCAGGATGCAATGGCGAAAGACAAGCTGGAGAAGGAGACAGAACCGGAACTGAACATGAAAGCTGATCTTGCAGACGCGTATTTACACCCGATATTCCTCTCATTTGACGAAGAATTAGATGAAGAAGATGAGAGGCACCAAAAGGAGGCAACGGAGGTAAGAGTGGACAAACATGAAACACATTCTTCAAGTCCTGTGACCGAGCTAGGTACTCCTCATTACCAGCAACATGAAGTCTACAATCCATCTTCCCCTTCTTCGCATTACGCTTCAGCTTATGAGCAGTCATCGTCTCAGTATGAGTACCATTACGAGACTCATCGGTATGAGGAGCATGGTGGATACCACTACAACAATTGATCTTATATGAGTGTTACTTTTATAAGTCTAGTCTTTTAAAATTTATTTAATGGTCTAAATTTAATTGGTGCTAGGTGGTTGGTTGGTATTAGTGTTGTTTTACTGTCGCAAAACTTGGTTTGTTTGCAAATGCTTTAATAGAAGAGAAAAAAAACGAATATCTTATTTAATTAAGAGAAAAGATATTTCTTAACCGAAAAAGCTAACCCAGGGAAACAGAGAGACAAAAGTAGCTCATCTTCTATCTATAGAACATTGTGTCTCGTCCATACAAGTTCTTGTCATCCTGTTCCCATCATTAAAATTAAGATGGAGAAGACTATGATGTGTGGTCTCGCAGAATCACAGCCAAGTCATCTCCACTTCCATGGCTACTCCTTTAGCTGCTCCTCTCTTCTCTCCTTTCGCTCTTTCTTCAGCAAGAAACCGCCATTCATATCCCAAGATCCGATTCCCGTCGAACAATGGGAAGACTTTCGAATCCAAAGGACTCCCGAAGCTAAATCTATCGAAATGTAGTAAACTAAGGAGCAAGTTTATGCAAATGGGTTCCCGAGAGATGACTTCTGGGAGAAAACTCTCAGTACAGGCCATGGATGGTGCAGGGACAGGCAACACATCAACGATCTCTAGTAACGTAAGCTTAAAGGTTAAAGATTTTTATGATGTTTGTTACCACGTTAGGTTTTAACCTCGTTGTTTTATCACACCAGGTGTTGGCGATAGCGCACTTGTTGGTGTCGCTTGGGATCATACTAGCGGCAGACCAGTTCTTGAAACAGGCTTTTGTAGCAGCCTCCATAAAGTTCCCAAGCGCTTTGTTTGGGATGTTTTGTATATTCTCTGTTCTTATGATATTAGATTCCGTTGTCCCCGCTGCTGCAACAGGTATGATGAACTTCTTCGAGCCAGCGTTTCTGTTTATCCAGAGATGGCTTCCTTTGTTCTACGTTCCTTCTCTTGTGGTCCTCCCTCTTTCCGTTAGAGATATTCCGGCTGCTTCAGGCCTCAAAATCTGCTACATTGTAGGTAATATATAAATGATCATTCACTTGTTCTTATGGTACCTTTAATAGTAATGTTGGCTCGGTTTAATGTTTTGATTCAAATGCTTGTACAGCTGGTGGATGGTTGGCGTCTCTTTGTGTAGCAGGTTTCACAGCTATAGCAGTGAGAAAAATGGTGAATACCGAGATGACGGAAGCTGAGCCTATGGCAAAACCTTCTCCATTCTCAACACTTGAGCTGTGGAGTTGGAGTGGAATCTTTGTTGCGTCGTTTGTCGGTGCTTTGTTTTACCCTACTTCGTTGGGAACAAGTGCAAGGACTTGTCTCCCTTTCCTTCTTTCTTCCACTGTTCTAGGTTACATTGTCGGTACTGGGTAAGATTCAAACCCTTTACTCCTTGCTCCTCAAGTTTCAGGTCTCTAGCATTTGGTGCTATTGTCATTGTCTTGTCTAGGTTGCCATCTTCTATCAAGAAAGTATTCCATCCGATCATCTGCTGCGCTTTATCTGCACTACTCGCCGCTCTAGCTTTTGGGTATGCTTCCGGATCTGGACTTGATCCTGTTTTAGGTAAACTTTCACACAAACTAGAGAGAAACAACACCTTTAAAGACTTTTAAGCAGAAAGTGAAAGTCTTTTGGTTCACTACGACAGGAAACTACCTTACCAAAGTAGCATCAGATCCTGGTGCTGGTGACATATTAATGGGTTTTCTTGGCTCTGTCATTCTCTCTTTCGCTTTCTCCATGTTCAAACAGAGAAAGGTAACAACAAAACAACAAACTCGTTCTTGTTTTTCTTTAGAAAAACTGTTAACAATCTCTTTGGTCTGCCTCAGCTTGTGAAGCGGCATGCAGCTGAGATTTTTACGTCTGTGATCGTTTCAACAGTATTCTCTCTCTACTCCACTGCTCTTGTTGGACGTTTAGTAGGTTTGGAGCCATCTTTAACGGTTTCAATCCTACCTCGCTGCATCACTGTTGCGTTAGCACTTAGCATTGTATCACTCTTTGAAGGTATGAATGCTATTCTTCTCCTCAGAAGAAGACATTAAAGAGCATTTTTAACGACTTTCTTGGACGTTTTTCAGGGACCAACTCGTCTCTTACAGCAGCTGTAGTGGTTGTGACTGGTCTGATAGGAGCTAACTTTGTACAAGTTGTTCTTGATAAACTGCGCTTGAATGATCCTATTGCTCGTGGAATCGCAACTGCTTCAAGGTGACTCTTTCACATATGATCTGTTCACATTTTGAATCAAAAATTCGGGAAAAGTAGGTTATACATTATTTTGTATGGACAGTGCTCATGGACTTGGAACAGCAGCTTTGTCGGCTAAGGAGCCAGAGGCACTTCCTTTCTGTGCAATTGCTTATGCTCTCACTGGAATCTTTGGATCGTTACTCTGTTCTGTCCCTGCCGTCCGACAGAGTTTGCTGGCTGTCGTCGGCTAAGAAGTGATGATGTGGCGACATACAATTGGTGGTGGCCCTAGAAGCCGGCGAGTTACTTCAATATGGGAGCTGTTTGGTTTGTATGTGAAACAAAAGCTTGCATCATAATATTTTCATTCTGTTGTGTATATGTAAAGAAAACAAAATATGTAAAATTTATTATTTTAATTGAGACAAAAAGCCAATTTTCTCAAATTCTCATTTTCAATTTTTACCTTTCTCAAATGTGAAACTTAATATTTTAGTTTTTAAAAATTATGTATTGAATTTTTAGTCTTGTGATAAAATTGATGAGAAGAAAAAAGTCTTGTGATAAAATTAAATATTTTCTTGAAAGTAGCAAGAAAAACATAAAAATGGCGTGTTATGTTTCATCTTTATCTTTTAACTAGTGGTTGGCCCGCCTTACGGGCGGGTGTATTTACACTAAATTTATTTTATGTTAAAATATATTTTAGTTTTATAAAATATTTCAAAATTTAATTTATAATAAGATAATAAATATTTTTTTTTCAAAGATGATATTGTAAAGTTTATTAAATTTTTCTGAAAGAAAGATTTTTAGTGAACACAAAATTATTAAATAAAAAAAATTAAGGAAAATGTAATAATTTATATTTCTTCTTTTGGTTTTTATTTTAATTTGATATAGTTGAATAAAATTCAAAAGTAAAATAATTTTTTTCGAAGAGTTTCCAAATTTAATATTATTATATTAATAATTTTCTCCTGATAATTAATTACTCCTTCTTCAAGCTAAATTAGTTGAAATATAATGTAATGTGATAAAACTGTAAAAAATGTATATTTTAAAGTACTATATAAATAGTTTCAGTAATGTCATAGATAATAATTAATATATTTTATTTAACAATAAATTATGGTTTATAATATATGTTCTTCAGTTTATATTAGATTCCCAATCTATAATGAAATTTATTCAAATTTCAATATTTTATTAATTGTGTTTTGTGAATTATTGTTGAAATATTTACAAATATGTACACTCATATCTAAAGGTTACACCAATTTTGTTTAGTACCTTTTTCAGATCATATGAACTCAAATTGAATTAATATCTGTAAGTAATAAGTTATATTGGAGAAAACATGAAGACGAAGTGTAATCATAACCGATTATAAGTTACTTTCCAAACTTAGTTACTATATAATATTCCTAAAGTGAGATTAATGTTGTATATCAACATTAAAACACGCTAATGGACGATGGAGTGACACAACAATTTTCAGATTAAAGAACTAAAAGCATAAACGAAACATAACTATAATGATAATCTTGACCTTGAGATCCCACCTGCGCAAAAACATATGAAACCATAAAATCCTAATGGTCATTAAGCGAAGTAAATGTTCACACACAATTGTACATCGTTTTGGGTCTCACTATTTGACATGTAACTTGAAATGCTGGTGTAAAAGATGATTTTTAAACAGAATTTTTCATACGTTTAACTAAAAATATCTTAAATTATAGCTATTACTCATTTATCTATAAATTTATCGAATTTTGAGTAGTTTTATTTTTTTTAACTAACTCTAAAGTTAAGAAAATAAAAAATAATATATGTATGGTTTGTTTTATACTTTTTCTTAAAAAATTCTTATAAAAATAAAAAAAGTTTTAGCAGATTCTCAAAGAAAAAAAATATATAATTTTACCGGAAAAAAAATTTCGTAATTTCACCGGGCAAGAAATACTTATTGTTGTTATAAAAAATGTGAAGTTAATATAACATATTAAATATGAAGGAATTACAAAAAAAAATGAAAATATCTTATTTTATTAGTGTAAAGAAAAGATAATTCATTAAATTTGAATATTTTACCCATTTTATGGAACTAATATGAATGTGTCACAAAAAACGTCCACCTCTCTCTTGCTAATGTGGACGATTCTAGAGAAATGTGGGTCTATAACTAATCTCTAGCCCAATATCTAACATTAAACTGGTATAATAAACTTACTACAAACCAAGACGCAAAGATTTATTTTTTCCGGGTCAATTTCAATGAATAATTGCTGATGTGTCTTTTTTTTTCCCATGCTCTTTGTTGATGTGGCAGCATGAGAAGGGAGAAAAGTCAGTTTTATTTAATAAGATGCTGGGTTTTAAAAAGGGCTCTAATCATGTAATGGGTTTACTTGTTTCCATTTGTACCAAATTCTGGCATATGTGCCCATATAATACAAAGTTGACAAAAAAAAAAAAAAAAAACATAAAAAAAAAAATTGAGAGGGCAAAAGCGTAAATAAAAAAAGAGGATGACGAGAGCCCGAAGCTGCAACGGAAGGCGTAAAGCTAAAGCGTTGCCAAACTATCTCCCAGTCTTGTCTGAATTCTACTCTCAACCACAAAACCAAAAAAAATGATGCTAATCCCAACTTCTTCTTCTTCGTGTTCTTCATACTCCTGTTGTAGCCTTCCTCAAGCTTCCTTCAATTCTAATTCATATCCTTCGAAACAGTCTCTCTTCCTCTCCAAATCCGCTTATCCAATCCCAAATGGTACTTTTGCTTCAATTTCACTCAATCGGATCAAAGTCTAACTCTTATGCTTCAATTTGTTTATGTGGCTACTTCAGGAAGCAGAAAGTTGAAGACTTTGCGTCTCAGAGCTAATTTCTGGGAGTCAATCCGATCTGGGTACTTGAAGAGATTCAAACATTTCTTGCTCATATGGAAACTTAGGCTGGTACAACAACACACCCAATTGAATGCTTTGATTGCTTGATTCAGGTTTGTAAAGAATAATAATACTACCCAACTTGTGGAACCACCTTCTACAATCGAAGAAGATGAAGATACGGAACCAGTACTTCCTGTTGAATTTACTTTGGTTGAGAGAACCCTTCAAGATGGCTTAGTGGAAGAGATCATATTTTCTTCTGGTGGTGAAATTGATGTCTATGATCTTCAAACCCTTTGTGACAAGGTTACTTAAAAGCTTCTCTTTCTTTTTGATGTTACTACAAGACGTTCTCATTTTTGGATATTTAAGGAATAGGTGGGATGGCCTCGGAGACCGCTAACGAAATTAGCTGCAGCTTTGAAGAATAGTTATATGGTTGCTACATTGCATTCTGTATTGAAGCCGTCATCATCATCAGGTGCTTCTTCAATCAAGTTACCTTATTTCTTCATTCATCACATGTTTTTGATGAATATCTTAGCGGATTTTGGACAAGTTATTTGACACAGAAGGAGATACTGAGCAGCAGCAGCAGCAGAATAAGAAGCTTATTGGAATGGCACGTGCGACGTCAGATCATGCCTTCAATGCTACTATTTGGGATGTTCTTGTTGATCCTGAGTATCAGGTAACCAGAACAGAGAACTAGTTTTTTTTGTGTAATGAAACTTTTCTGTGTGTTGATGTTGGTAAGTGTTTCTTTTTGGTTTTCAGGGTCAAGGGCTTGGTAAAGCTCTCGTGGAAAAGCTCGTAAGGGCTCTTCTTCAGAAAGATATTGGTAATATATCTCTTTTTGCGGATAGTCAAGGTATTAACAATATCAACATCACCATATACTGCAAGCTTTTGTAATCAAGTGTTTTAGATTTGTTCTTCCTTTAGTTTCTGAATTTGTTATGCAGTTGTGGATTTCTATCAGAACCTGGGGTTTGAGGCTGATCCAGAAGGCATCAAAGGCATGTTTTGGTACCCAAAGTAGTAGTTGGTAGATTTGCAAAAGAATGTGATTTTACTATTTGGATGTATGCTTTCTTATATTGGATCAGTAAGGAAGTTTACTAACTGTGCATTTTGTAAGTTATTTGTCTATTTAAGATTCAATCATATGAGTATATGATCAATAGGAAGAAAAAATTTCTGGTGCTGTAAATGAGGACACTTTCGATAGATTTTATTAACTGGATTANAGATTTGCAAAAGAATGTGATTTTACTATTTGGATGTATGCTTTCTTATATTGGATCAGTAAGGAAGTTTACTAACTGTGCATTTTGTAAGTTATTTGTCTATTTAAGATTCAATCATATGAGTATATGATCAATAGGAAGAAAAAATTTCTGGTGCTGTAAATGAGGACACTTTCGATAGATTTTATTAACTGGATTATTGTTGATCACATTCCACATAAAATTACAAACCATGAAAGACAGTCCTTTTCGCCATGAAAATCCGCAGGAAACAATGCATAGAGCAAGAAAGAAAGAAGAAACTGCAAATGGATTTTATCGACAGGTTATATTTTGCATTTGTTTCAGGCTTTAGCAGTTTCTGCAGGAGCAGTGGCTTTGTTGGCAATGAGCTGCTCATAGAGATCTCTGATCTTCAATCCAACAATGGTCTGGAAAAGACCAGTCCCATTGTTGCTACCAGGGAAGTCAGCATGCTTAAGCATTTGTTGAGTCACTTCACCGTAGAATTTGGTCGACAGGTTGCTCAGATGGCTCTCCACGTAAATCAGCTCGTCCAGTCTATCAAATTGCCCGTCCATCTCCACAACCGATACCTGAAATAGAGTGAACACGATGCTCAAACCAAGAACTAAAGAAACTATACTCATTCTGCAGATAAATGAATGTACCTCATGGTCGAAGTAGGAATCAGGTGAGTAGTTGAACTTGATGCCAGGGTACGAGCAAGTGAGTTTGCGCCCACAAGGGATCCACGAGATGGTTGAACCTTCATCGAATAGGTAAACCGGGCTGAAGTACTGAACACCTTCCTTCATTATCAATCTCACTCTCAACACCTTGCCTTCATTGTCATCTGGAATCAGCTGTGTTGGAAGCACTTCTATGACCGCATCAGCATACTGCTTTTGTGGGTCTGCATAAACCATTTGATACATTATTATCAACAAAATTTTCCTTGCAAATGAAGACTGAATATGAGCTTTTACCAATGAATGCATCGAAGTCAGGCTTTCGTGCTTCGATACTCGCTTTGATGCTCTCTAAGCTGTGACCTCTTTCAGCCATGTCCCTCTGTAGATACAGATTCGGTTGATACGATACATTGTTCACGGTCGAATGAAATGTGTATATATATATCTGAAGATGAAATATATAAAGAAACACACCTGGATTTTCCAAGCGAATTTGACCTCATTACTAATGTCTAGGTAGATACTGAAATCCAATAAGTCTCTTACCCTCTCATCAAACCTTCATAAGTAGATAAAACATTATAATAAAAAAATTAGATAAAAGCTTCAAAACGATAGACTAACTTAACGATTCAAATATAATTTCATCATACTACTAGATGACCAAAACATTAGACAAATATTCGAATAAAAATTTCATCATCGTCAAACTATAAGACTTCATGCAGAAGGTTCAAAATATTCATTATATTCTTATATAAAAATCTAAATCCAAGATGCTTAACCATTAAAATTCCGACAAGAAAAGAAAGACTTCCAAACTCTTGAAGCTGTCTGAGAGACAAAACAGAGTAATGAGTGGCCTACTTACATTGGGTGAAGACCTTCGATGACGAGAATCTTGGGAGGCTGAATAAGCTCAGGTGCGTCAAGAAGTCCAGTGACGTGATTATAAATAGGTTTCTCGACGGCGATACCACTCTTAAGAGCTTTAACTTGCTCATACATGAGATCAAAGTCATTAGCGCGTGGGTCTAAAGCAGTGACTCCTTTCTCTTTGCGACCGGTTCTGTCCAAAGAATGGTAATCGTCGAGACAGATCACAGTGGTCATGTCACTGATGAGTGTGTTGGAGTCAGGGTTCCCTCCTTTTGGTGGCTCGGCGGCTCCACCGAAGACACTAGTCAACCTCCGCATGAAGGTACTTTTGCCGCATCCGGAGTCGGCAGCGAGACCGATCACGACGGTTTGTTGTGCGGCGCAAGTGATGGTTGTGTTGAAGCTACGGTTGGTTTGGGGTTGATGACGACGGTAGAAGAAGACTTGTTTTGAGGATGAGGAAGATGTTAAGAAGTGAGTTGAATTGAGAGCTTGTGTTGAGTAGATCGTTGAGACAGCCATTGTTNTTTGCCGCATCCGGAGTCGGCAGCGAGACCGATCACGACGGTTTGTTGTGCGGCGCAAGTGATGGTTGTGTTGAAGCTACGGTTGGTTTGGGGTTGATGACGACGGTAGAAGAAGACTTGTTTTGAGGATGAGGAAGATGTTAAGAAGTGAGTTGAATTGAGAGCTTGTGTTGAGTAGATCGTTGAGACAGCCATTGTTATTGATGTTTGGTTCCTCTTCCTAAGCTCTCTGCTCTATTTTGTTTTGGGAGAACTTTGGTTGAGTGATGATGAGGATCAGGATAGAATGAAAGAGATATGGGTAACGATTTTTGTGTGGTGATGGAAAAAGATGTTGGAAACAAATGAGAGGAGGCAAATGGGTCTATAGGAAACAAATGGCAGATGAGTTATGTTTTGAGGATGTGGTGTGTAATGAGTGGCTCATGTTCTGATTTCGTCAAGTAAAACACTTTGTGATGTTTGTTTTAGATAAAATTTTAGTCTCTTTGTTTAGATAATTGTTGATAAGTAAAACATTTCTAGCCTCAAAAACCCAAGCAACATGTATCTTATATACTTCGTGGTTCTTTTAGTTTGTCTTAATTATTGATTTCATAATTGTACTTGATTTTAATTATTTTGTTAAAATGATAATTGGATATTGATGTTTCGCAGAGAGTGGAGTTGCCGATGAAGTGATAAAACTAGAACAGAGCATGGAGACACAAGCCATTCGAAAAGCACGGAGAAACACATGGGTAGATATTTGCTTATTTTTGGAGGTTTCGGATATTTGAAAAACACATGGGTGGATATTTGCTTATTTTTGGAGGTTTCGGATATTTGAATTGACACATGTGAGACTCCAATTGGAGAAACGGGGATTAGGTGCTTAAGGTTTAAAGTTGAACTAGATCATAACCCGCCCGACTGAACGGCTATTTTTTTCTATGGTATATATAAACATTTTTAAAATTACAATTTAATGCTTCCAATTTTACTAAGTAATAGTATACTATATAAACATTGTATTTCATCACTGTATTGTATAACAGAGGCGTCGGTAAAATGTTGTGACCCGTAAACATTTTAATAATAGTTTATAAAGTTTTTTTGGGTTAAATTTGGTGTAAATTTATATACACTAAATAATTTACTTAAATTTTTGAAGTTAATTTTTTAATGAAGAATTGGAAAGCTAGTATATCAGTGTAAAAAACTTATAACAATAGTCAATATAAATTATATAAATAAAATATATTATTATTCTTGATTTATTTTAAATAAATTTAAAACACGAATACATATATGTATAAAGAATTTTCAGAAATAAAGTAATATCAATGATAGAAAAACCAAAAACAATAATAATAGTATTTTGGGCCGCAATAATCTTTAATTTAATAAATAAGCCTATTAAGTTTATATGCTATCCATGTTTCCAATCAAATTTTTAAAATTTTCTTATTCATGTTTCCAAACACTTCATTTTTGTACTTCAGCTTTAATAGAATAGATGAAGAGTGTATCCTGTGGGTCCCATTGCCACGTCTCTTATAATTCCTTTTAGCTTCACATTAGTATTCCCTCTGTTCCATAATATAAGATATTCTAGAGAAATTGATGTTTCAAAATATAAGATGTTTTGATATTTTTAAGGTATTTTAACTTTATAGAAAATCGGTTGACCAATAGTATTTTAATTTATTATTTATGATTGGTTCATTTATTTTAAATTATATTATCAATGATGTTATCTTTTGAAAAGTTAAGTTTCTTAATTCTTGTGCTTTCGATAAAACATCCAATATTGTGAAACGGAGGGAGTACTACTTTATGTTCGGAACTATGCTATGTACTAGTCATACGGTAAGTCCGGACCTAGCGAAATACCAAAAAAAAGGATTAATCAGCTATAGATGGGGACTAATTTTTATACTTTTTAATTACAAAGATACGTATATATATGAATTAATATATGTGAATGTTAAATGTATAGGTGACATAGCACAGTGGTTTGTGAAGCATTTATTATTGAAAGAGGTGTTAGGTACAATACTTTTGGGACACAACACTTTTTTTGTTTTTGTTAGTGAGTTGGAAAAAAAATTCAAAATTCAAAATTCAAAACTAACTTGCAATTGTCCCACATGAGTAAACATGTCTAAGAGAGAGTTTGTAGGTTCGTATAAATACATAGAGAAAGTGTCTTATCTTTCTAGGCGAATAAGCTTATTTTATTCCCCAAACATTCGTCTTCTAAATCTAATGTTTAATTGTTTAAATCGGATTTATGTAATAATTAATTGATTTTAAAAATAATTAACCGGATTTTCAGCCATGTGTCATCAAGGAAACAAGTGATTAAAATCACCCACAGTAGAGGTTTATATGGGGTTCATTGGGTAAGGGTCATGGATTTATTGGACCAAAAATAAATCAAAATTGGGCTTTATTTGGTGACCCGGGTCTCTCGAGAGAACTCGTGTGAGCCCGTCTCATTCCACGTGTCGTGCAACGGGTGGGCCGTCGATTATGTTCGAAAACACGGAAACGAGAAATGAAAATCATTTTCTCCTCTTGTTCGCGAAATTAGGGTTTGCTCTCTCCGAAGGCGATTTTGGTGCGACGGCTCCTCTTCCGATTTCTCCATCAAATCGACGAATCTCCGTGTACTCATCTTGCTCAGGTCAGTGTCGAATAGATTCA